CCTGGATCTTCTGTAATAACAGCCAGTGTTCTTAATGACTGAGCCATCTCTCCAGCCCTCCTCCCCCCTTTTTAAATGTAAATTCTTGGAATCAAGCTGAGATCATCAGGCTTGTGTAGCAAATGTTTTTGCCTGCTAAACCCTCTCTCTGGCTCATGTTCTGCTTGTGATGTTAGGTACATATATGTAATTGTTTTTATTATCTGTCTTGCAGCTTTACCTGTAAATCAGTGCTCTTAGTCTGTGCTGGAAGTTTTAGTATAGATTTTGCAAGTGTAGCATGATTAGAGCTGTCTGATAGCTGTGAAAACCTCAGCTGCTTGGCAGTGTGATTTCATTTTATATATTAAAAATTTTAATCTAGAAATTATTGTTCTTCAAGGACATTAAAAGGACAACCAAAGTTATTCATTCTGATAATTTTTTAAAAAAATGTTTGTTTTAAAGCCTATAAAACAGAAATTCAGCAAGTACTAAGCTATTTGTTCCAATACCTCAGGTTTCCAGTGGCTCGAAAGGCCTGTCTCACCTAATGCAGAACTCTGTGGTAGCTTTAAGTCAGCTGCGAGAGGCAAGGACTGTCAAGAGTTGGGTGCCAGTCTTACGGTAACTTGTAAGCCCTTTCTTGATGTGAAGTCATTTTGAAGAGTTTCAAATTGCATTGTTGGATTTAACACTGTTTTTTTTTTTTTTTTTTTTTTTTTTCCTGTGGGAGAAACTGCATCTCCTTAAGTGTTCTCCTTGACCAACCTCGTCAGGTTAGAGGCATCATGTGGCAATGGCAGCCTTTGTGCTTGTGGAAACAATTGTTCTCAGATGAGTCTCAGGGTCTCTTTAGACCTCGTATGATTTGGATCTGGAACATTCCCTGAGGCTCCTGTGCTAAAGGTTTGATTGCCAGCTATTGGACTTTGGGGAGCTGACTGGATCAGGAAGGCACTGATCTTGTCAGTGGAGTAATCTACCAATGGAGATTTGATGGCGTTATTTGGAGATGGGAGGAGCTAGGTAGATCCTTGCTAAGGCAAGGTATGTACTGGCCTTAGCCCTTCTGTCTTTGCTTCCTGGCCACCATGAGGTGAGCAGCTCTGTTTCACTTGTGCCCTCCTTGCCATGCTCTGCTTCTTCTTGGACCCAGACACAAGGGAGCTGGCCGACCATAGTCCGGAACCTCCATGACTGTGAACCAAAATGGGTTTCTCCTCCCTTAAGTTGTTGTTTTTGTCAGATACTTTGTCATAAGGCCTGAGTACCATTAGAACTCTGAGCTAATTGTATCTGAGAGAATGAGAGAGAGAGAGAAAACCGGGGAGAGGAAGAGATGCAGGCTGTTTGTGAGAGAGGCAAAGATCAAGGAAGGATGGGAGATGAGATGGGCCAGCTGCAGTCCTGGTGCTAAGGGCCCCCAGCAGCATCCAGCCCGTGGTGCATGTTGAACTAGTCAGGGAGCCAGCTGCAGTAACCCAGGAAGCCAGTCTTTGGGCCACTGTGCTGCCTCATGTCCATGTGGGCTCATCATATGCTGGCCATCCTCAGTATGCTGGTCATTGCCTACCTAAAGGACTGTGGTTGACAACGACCAGAGATTTCAAAGCAGCTCAAAGCCAAATGACTCTAGCTCCTGGACTACTAGCTGAGCAAGTTCACGTGTCTGTCTTGTGGAGTACCTGATTAATTTTTCTGACTATGGAGGTGCCATAAAAATGGGTGTCCCAGGTGATCAGGAAAGATGATGCTGAGGATTCTTTCAAGTCTTTTATGTGGCAAATCCATGTAGATTTTACCTTGTATCCCATAATAGCTCCATGTTTCTTGTAATAGTAAAAACACTCAACCACTGTTCTCCCCAACACAAAATTCTTTGAGGCTCCGAAAAATCTAGTGTTGATCTGTTGGCTTTGGAAGCCCCCCTCCCTCCTTGTACACCCTGTCACGTTGCCCCTGGACCACATTCCCAGTGGTAATGTGGAGGCAGGTAGATCATGAGCTTTTGATGGGCTAGGCTGTATCAGGGATGGCACTCTAGACTTGCCCACTTTAAAAGATGCCTTTGTAAATTGTGTTACTGTACTGATGCAGACTCACCTCAGCAAGCCTCCACTAGGCTCTAAAGGAAGCCTTGCAAGTAGAGCCTTGGGGCATGGCTCCAGTTTTGAGCTCTCAGACATGTTGGATCCTAAAAAAGCATCTTCTGATTCCCTCGCCATGTAAATATAATGTCTCTCTCCTCATAATCACCGGCACAAATAAGTTTATAAGATTGCTTGGAAATTTTAAATCACTCATTAAAGTGTTAAACACAGCTCCTTACACACAGTGGCTGGTAATTGTTAGCGGTGTTCAGTGCTAAGCCCCGCAGCATGGAGGCCCTGCAGCAGGAGGAGAGCGGAGTCCATGCGCCCGGGATTTGTTGCTGGCATGTTCCAAATGGTGGCTCATCAGGGACTTTGGACCTTGAATTCTGAACAGGTCAAACCTTTATAAAACTTGGAAACTTACGCTTGGCACTCTATGATTAAAGAAATGGAGTGGTGGGGCTGGAGAGATGGCTCAGCAGTTAAGAGCACTGACTGCTCTTGCAGAGGACCCAGGTTCGATTCCCAGCACCCACATAGCGGCTATGAACCATCCTTAACTCCAGTTCCAGGGGAATCTGAAGCCCTCTTCTGACCTCCGCAGCATTGCATGACACAGGGGGAACTCATATACATGCAGGCAGTACACTCGTACTCGTATTATTTAAAAATAATAAATAAAATATGGAAAAAAAAAGAAATGGAGTAGCTGAAGTTCTTGAGCAAAAATACAAAATCACTAAGGATGCTGGTGGGAAAAAACTGAGCTTCCTGGTATCACAGAGCTCGGAGTCCATGGGGCAGAAGCACCAGCACGGCCTCCTGCTGCCTCTGCTTTGTGCTGGTCGAGTCTCACAGGCTGACCCTTCTTGTAGAGGTCTGACTGAGTGGTCAGTGAGCTGCTGTTTAAGAATTTTGAATAGGAGAATTGTGTACTCTGTTGCCCTCTTTAGACTGGAAGGAAATGTGCAAAAGGTTATTACTTGATGACAGCACTGTGATAAATTTCCTCTTTATTTTTCTAAGGTCTCTGAGAACACACACCCTTGCTAAAGTTTCTAAGAACATGCTTCTGAAGGCAATAGTGGCTCATGTGTGGAGGTCGGGATGGACATACGTGGATCTAGGGGAGCCCTCAAGAAGCTGTTAGGAAATCCAAGTCATAGAATCAGAGCTGAACTTAACCTGGAGAGCCCATCAGGCTCTCAGGTTACAGGAGAGAGTAACTGAGCTTAAGACTCAGCCCAGGACTTGGACTCCTAGTCTGTTCTTCCGGTGTGTAACATTAAATTTATGGGGGAATGGTAGAGAACATGTCGTAGGGAGAAGAGAGAACATGTCGTAGGGGGAAGGAGCCTGGGTACCTTCCAAAGTACTTTCCCAACAAACCTGGATGTTTTCTCATCTCTCTATGCTTTTAAATTTTGTACCACCTAGATGTTTGTGTAGGTTGATAAGTACTGAAACCTCACCACCCCAGCGGCAAATCACTGCAGTATTGGTCAAACTTTCTCTCTATGCGCGCTTAAATTAGAATCCTGTCGCAGAGCTTTTTGAAAACAATGCTGACGTCAGTCTTAGGTGAAGACAGCATCCACAGGGTTCAGCAGCTCTCCGTCAGTTGGAAGTGTTGCAGCAGATGTGGTTAAACTTGCTAGATGTGCAGTTCACAATTTGCACACAGTACCAAACAGTTGAAATCTTTCAGTTATTTGGACAGTTGCTGGTATTAATGGCTGTTTGCTTTCTCTTCCCAGCTGAGAGCAGCTCCTTAGAGAATGGAGGTTGTGTTTGCATGAAGCACTGAGGGAAGAGCTGGGTGGGGGCTTTGTGTACGGGGAGTTTGTGTGCGGGGAGTTTGTGTGTGGGGTGTAGTTATTTGGAGCCCCTACGAAGTGATATGGAGGTTAGTGATAGTGGGGTTGTATTAGGGACTCTGAATAAGGAAGTTTTTTTTTTTTTTCTGTCTGGTCCACCCACCTTTGCTTCAAGACTTAAAGCTTAGGGTATTTTAAGAGTTGTGCAGTTCTCCCCCACATGTGATATACAAAGTATTGGTTAAAAACTGAGAGCCTAACCACCTAGAAATTTCTGGACATGATAGTTATGAGTTATAGGCTATGCATGGTCAAATGATAAGCTGGTTGTTGTTGGAATAGAATTGAGAGGACAGGTGTCGGCAAGACTTCATGTCATTAAGGAAGGCAGGATGTCAAACAGGATTGAGCGGCTGAGTCACAGTGGCAAAGCGAGGAGTTGTTGCTTGTCCATTGCGTGACCAGAAGGTGACTCCACGCCATGGGCTGGATGACAGATGCGATTCTGGTTTCTAGCTATTCTAAAACTCTTCTGAACTACAGAATGGGCTTGGTTTCCTAGGTTCCTTGTTTAGCTGAAGACAGCTGATTATGTAGGAGTGGGAAGGTGAAGTTAAAGGCTACTTCCTTCTGCTGTTCCATGACATTGGATGGAGCCTTCCGGCTCTCTGGCTTCTAATCTGTAATGGGATAATTTCTATTGGCTTAGATAATTTTTGAAGTCCCATCTGACTACAAAGTGTCTCTATTTCTAAAACAAAAAAATGATTTGCAAGGGGATATGGACTATACTTTCTTGAATTGGAAAGATGAAGCAAAATGCTTACCTAGTCAATTCTTGTAACTCTAAGTACAGCATCTTGAAGGTGTCCCTCCATCAACTAAAGAACAAATGTCTCCATTTAATGTATGACTGCGTTGGGGAAAAAAAAATGCAGCCACAGTAGGTGACCAGGGGGAGAAGCAACTATTCTGGAATTTTGAAAGCCCAGTAGTATTTACGATTTGCTTTCTCAGCACTGAAAAGGTCACCTTGCTAATACATGTTAATTTTGAAAGTTAATTGACCTCTGGAATTTTAATATCAACCTTCTTTTGGTGTGTTTAGAGGTTGGAGCAATCACAGAAGAAACTGAAGCCTGTGATTGGTGGAGCCTGGGCGCTGTCCTCTTTGAACTTCTCACTGGCAAGGTATGCAGTGACCTGGACATTACGTTTATCCAGATGCCACCTTGAGTTTAAGTTGAGCACGGTAGCCTTTGCCTTTAGTTTTAGGTCAGAGACTAAGAAAAGCTTTGGTGTCAGAAACAGGCAGAGAAATGCAGGTTTATCAAGAGTCTGATTTTAAAAAAATAATGATTAAATTGATGGTAAGATTCTGTTGTGCACAATGTTACCTAGTGAGAGACCAGACTAAGTATTTCTTTCTGTCATTTTCTGTAACACAGCTTGAATAGAGCAAGCTCTGTAAGGTTTGGGAGAACATGTGGTAGAATTCTCCAGATGCCCCACGTGTGTCCTTTGAAGCCAGGAGGGAATTGCATCTTAAAAAATTAGTGTTGCTATTAAAGGTAACACCTTTTTCTCCTCAATATTACACATTTTTCTATCTGTTGTAGCTATAGGACAGAATCTATACTCTTTCTGATTAGCAACTTTTAAGTGGGATGCTTGAGGTTAATAGACTTTAACAGAGTTTTGTGCACATTGACTCCTGGGAAGAAAGCAGAGAAATGTTAAATATCCGCCTTAAATGTGTAAGTAAGCGGATGTAATGTTGCTGTGCAGTATACAAATGGCTTCTGTATACAGTTAAACTGTAAAGTGCTGTACAGATATGAAGCACTGTAACTAACAGATCCTACACTTGAAAGGGCTTTGAGAGCATTAATTATTTCAGAGCTAGCAAGACCCTCTTTAGCTTTTGTGTGTAATCTGAGCTTTTCTGTTGTGAGCTCGTCACTCAGTGGCAAAGGGAGAAGGGGCAGTTGCATAAGCGTGGGCTGTGAGCATGGGGGCTGTCTGCTGTTTCAGGTAGACACACTGTAGCTCATAGCCCACAGCCTACTCTGCCTAGGTGACACTGTGCTGATGACTGCCTCCAGTTCACATGGTTGTCAGCTCCCTGTACTTGCCGTCCATAAGCCCCATGATAGAACTGCATGTAATGGGATTCGGGATAAGAAATGTGCCTCGTTGATTGTTTCAGACTTTGGTGGAGTGCCATCCTGCAGGAATAAATACTCACACTACTTTGAACATGCCAGAATTTGTTTCTGAAGAGGCTCGCTCACTCATTCAACAGGTAATTGAATCAACTTCTTGGTTAAGTATCTCAACCTTACAGATTGATAGAGCCCACAATATTAAAGCCCTCAAGGAATTGGGCAGCAGAGACTCACAGTTATACATTCAGAATAAACATAGCATATTTTTAGGCTTCTGGTCTGTAGGATCAGAAAAGATAGCTCAAAGTGTTGGTATTAAATTTTGTACTTAAAGCCAGGGCTGATATTTAGTCTGAGCCATGCACTTGTGTAGGCGCCGCGTAAGAGAATGGCTTCAGCTTGTCTGGGGCACTCCTCTTCCCTGTGTCCTTAGCACTAGGTGAGTGGCTGTCTCACGCCTTCACTGTCAAGATTCTGTTACAGAGGAGAGAAGGGTTACAGATGTTATCGAATCGGTCATTCTTCAGAGCTAGTGGGCTTGGAGATTGATGTCAATTAGTCCATTTTGGTGACCTTAAGGAGAGACACTATTGATAATCAAAGTTCCGCCATCCCGGAGGCAGACTCAGAACTCAAGTGAGTTAAACTGTTTCTCCTGTATTTAAAATGCACACTGAGTATCATTAATTGGAAATGTTTGAGAGGCAGAAGTATTTTGCAGATTGTGGAGTTGTGTGGATTTTGCAGTGTTTGCGTAGACCTTGTGGTTAAGCAGACCCAGTGAAAAAACGAAACAAAACCCAACATCCTAAATTCTCTGAAACTGGAAACCCTTTCAGGGCGGGCCATATGAGTGCCCAGGAGATTTCAGATGCTGGGTGTGGGATGCATTAGGCTGAGACTCCTCCACCTCTGCCTCAGTCCTGAGCAGGGCCCAGCAGGCGCTGAGGGCCGTGCCGTTCCTATCATGGCCTCCAGCACTTCCAGCCTGTTATGGGCCCCGGCACTTCTGTCCAGGGGCCTTCCATTCCAGTGAGTATCATAAAGGGAGAAGTGATTTGAAAATGATGAAGAACTAAAATTGTTTGATGAGACATGGATTTTTTAAAAATCAGGGAAAGTAAAAAAAAAAAAAAAAAAGGAGGGGTAGGAAGTATATATTAGAAACAAATCACCTTGTTTTTTTTTTAAAGAACAATTTTGATTCCATTCAACAGTATTCTGTGCAAGGCACCATGCTAAAAACTTATAGAGGTAAAACCAAATAACTGTCTTACAAGACGGGACTGATAAAGTCTGTCAAGCTGGGTCAGTTAAGGTAAGGAGGGGTTCTAGTTGGTGCAGTGCTAGTATCAGGAAAATGGTGGACTGTGTGTTATTTTTGGTGGGCATTTGACCTAATGTAGTAGGGCAAGGTTGGATTTGGGGAACATACACTAGGGGGACAGAATGGTTTGAGCCAAGGTGAGGAAGGTTTGCCTGGAGTGAAGGATGGCTATGGAGTCGTGGGGAGCACAGCTAAGTTGGGGTGCTCTCATGGCATTCTGATATCATGAACAGAATGGTGATATAGTTGATTTAAAATGTGAGATTTGGAGTGGTTGTACAGAAAAATGAAAGGATCAAAGGTGGGTTTATTTGCCCAACTCTGTAAAATAAAAGTTTAGTTGGTAGAGTGCTTGCCTAACATGCACAAAACCCTGGGTTCTCTCCCCAGACTGCATAAAAGCACCATGGTGCTGGTTGTTGTGGCACACGCCTTTGATCCCAGCACTTGGGAGGCAGAGGTAGGCGGATCTCTGTGAGTTCAAGGCCAGTCTGGTCTACATAGTAAGTTCCAGGACAGCTGGGGCTACAGGGAGATCCTGTCTCAAAAAAAAAAACAAAACAAAACAAAAAAAAAAAAAAACAAAAAAAAAGCCCATGGGGGCAAGAGCAGCTTGGTCTAAACAGTGAGTTCCAGGCCTACCAGGGTTGCACATCAAGACCCTGTTTCAAAAGCCAAAAATCAAGAATCAAAACATGAAAATTAAGTTAAACAATATACATGCAGTTTCCATTAAAATCATCAGTAATGTTTTCCACCAAGAATGCAAGAAAAATCCACTGTGGGACACTCCAGGAATGTCCTTAACTGTCAGTTATTTTTCCCCTTTGCATCACCCCTCACTGGATATTACCTTAGTGTCTGTGCCCAAATGTGCCTAGAAACCCCTAGCCACAGTGATGACACCAAACACATCAGTCTGGATGTTTGCTAGAACTGTCTTTGGTACTGCAGTATGCTAAGCAGTTCTAGCTTCCTTAAACCCCCTTCTTCCTGTGTGTGGGAGACCCACCACCTCTCATTTCCTGTTCTCTGTGTTCCTTGCTCTGCTTCTTCCCATCTCTTAGAAGTGGATTCTTACAAGC